GACGGTCCTGGCGCTTGCTGGACACTCTGGGACGTCCTGAAAACTGCGATGATGGCTGCACGTGTTTCTTTGTAAGTAACCATTGCTAACAAAAACACAATGATTAGGGGCGCTTCTTCCCTCCTTTTATAGCAATCAGTCTGCTCTTACAATCTAATGAGTATGATAGTAATTTCACCTCACTAGTACTCATTCACACTTTCACATGTGCTGCTGATATGATTAGTCAATTAATGTTAGCTGGTCATTTTGTGTCAGTTACTTCAATTATTTAAAATGCATCTGATCACTCTACACAATAATCTAGAAACAAAGTGAATGAACACCACAACAGCTTAAGCAGCAAACTTTGCAAAACACAAAATTTATGTCACTGCCAAAACTTTTGGCCATGACTGTAATATATGGACAATATATGGACACATGCAATATAGGTGAAGACAACTGTACATAAGGTGGAACAGGCTTTATTTGGCATTTCATAGTACAGTATGTCGTGTGTCAATACAATATATTTTAACGCAACATTATACACAGTGATACATATTACTCACCTCTATGATTATTACTGTAATCTGGTGTTGAATATAAGTTTAAGTTTATCCAGTGGTTTGGCTTTATTGACAAAATGATGTGGGGGGAAAGGTGTCAATTTCATTCAGGAGCTTGAAGGGTATTCAAAATGTTTTAAAACCAATATAAAGCATTAATAAATTGTCAGACTTGATACTTGACAGAAAAACATTTTAAGACACTTTAATATCTTGGCTATCACCCACTGGGACTGTTAATGCACACTTACAACTTGTTCATCTCATAATCTGCCAGATTTATGATTTATGCCAATACTGTATACAAGTACAAATTGCACATTAGTCTGCCCAGTATAAAGATTTTAAGTTAATCAAAAATTAGCACGTTTCGTAATTAGAGGAAGCTGATTTTTTTTTAATCCATTAAACAAAAACGCAAAACCAACAAAAGAAAGAAAGATCACGTAAAGAACAAAATAGTAAAATTATCTTTAATGCAAGACTCTTTTTAATCAACAAGCTTGCCTGGTATTCAGTCTGTCCTTGATGTTTTTCTTGGAGAGAAGTGGCTTCTTTGCTGCCCTTCTTGACACCAGGCCGTTGTCCAAAAGTCTTGGCCTCACTGTGCTTGCAGATGCTCTCACACCAACCTGTTGCCATTCCTGAGCAAGCTCTGCACTGCTGGTGACACGATTCCGTAGCTGACTCCTCAGGAGGAGACGGTCCTGGCGCTTGCTGGACACTCTGGGACGTCCTGAAAACTGCGATGATGGCTGCACGTGTTTCTTTGTAAGTAACCATTGCTAACAAAAACACAATGATTAGGGGCGCTTCTTCCCTCCTTTTATAGCAATCAGTCTGCTCTTACAATCTAATGAGTATGATAGTGATTTCACCTCACTAGTACTCATTCACACTTTCACATGTGCTGCTGATATGATTAGTCAATTAATGTTAGCTGGTCATTTTGTGTCAGTTACTTCAATTATTTAAAATGCATCTGATCACTCTACACAATAATCTAGAAACAAAGTGAATGAACACCACAACAGCTTAAGCAGCAAACTTTGCAAAACACAAAATTTATGTCACTGCCAAAACTTTTGGCCATGACTGTAATATATGGACAATATATGGACACATGCAATATAGGTGAAGACAACTGTACATAAGGTGGAACAGGCTTTATTTGGCATTTCATAGTACAGTATGTCGTGTGTCAATACAATATATTTTAACGCAACATTATACACAGTGATACATATTACTCACCTCTATGATTATTACTGTAATCTGGTGTTGAATATAAGTTTAAGTTTATCCAGTGGTTTGGCTTTATTGACAAAATGATGTGGGGGGAAAGGTGTCAATTTCATTCAGGAGCTTGAAGGGTATTCAAAATGTTTTAAAACCAATATAAAGCATTAATAAATTGTCAGACTTGATACTTGACAGAAAAACATTTTAAGACACTTTAATATCTTGGCTATCACCCACTGGGACTGTTAATGCACACTTACAACTTGTTCATCTCATAATCTGCCAGATTTATGATTTATGCCAATACTGTATACAAGTACAAATTGCACATTAGTCTGCCCAGTATAAAGATTTTAAGTTAATCAAAAATTAGCACGTTTCGTAATTAGAGGAAGCTGATTTTTTTTTAATCCATTAAACAAAAACGCAAAACCAACAAAAGAAAGAAAGATCACGTAAAGAACAAAATAGTAAAATTATCTTTAATGCAAGACTCTTTTTAATCAACAAGCTTGCCTGGTAATTTTATTAAATTTATGTGTAAGATTTAATTAATGCCTGACCTCAGACAGAATGAAAACCTCCTCAAAGGGAGATTTTGCTCACTTCTGGGTACAAATTAGTAATGCTGTGCTGACGTCCATCAAAAGAACTGACGGACCCGACGCATTAACAAAATCTCTGAAAGCAATCCATGAACATTAAGTGTGTCTGTGAGTCTCGTTTTGACATTTATGTTTTTATCCTACCTTTATATATTGTCTTAATTCCTGGTGTCATACCAGAACCAGTAATAATTTGCAGACGATTTCGCGATGTTTCGCATTAGATCAGATTTCACAGGCCGTGTATAGCCTATACCTGTAGTGATGCCGCACTTGTTTGTTTGGGATAACAACACGTGGCGTCGGGCAGTTAACGGATGCCTGTCTGAAAATCATCCTACACTTGGATGTTGGATAGTATTCGCACTGATAGGCTACTTGCGCATTTTATAGTTTGGTTTGGCGCACCATATTTTTCCTTCAGTTTTTGTGCAATGCCGGTAAGCGTTTTTATTATTTAGTTTAATTCAGTTTTGTTTCTAAGCATGCTTAAAGCTAAAGCATACACCGCTACTGCACCAGTGAGTGTTGCAGGACACCTGTTTACCCAGTTAAAAACCAGGAATGGGGTAAAATCATAGGACAAACACCATCCCGACCTTGTGTCATCTGAATTTACAGGTTATTTTGTTTTCTCACACAAGGTTTTCATTTCATTTTTTTCAATTAAAAAATTAGAAATTTGATGGCTGAGCAGATTGGGAGGGTTGTAAGACTTCTGGACTCTCAAAAGTGTGCACAACATGAGACGAAATACTGCATAGACATAACTGGAATAAACTGAAAAAAACTCTGACACTAGTCAGGGGCTTTGAATTTGCTCTTTTGAATTGAAATGCATTCTATATGTTTAACATTTTGAATTAAAGTGGTGATGGAATAATAATGATTTAAAAGTAGTAAATGTGCTTACCACAATTAATGTATGCACACAATTTATTTCAAATACAAACCACCCTGGTACTGGATTAGAACTAGTACATAGTTATTTGACATTAGAAATTAAACTACATTAATTAGCAGATAAATATTAAAATGTTATATGTGAGACATTCAGAGCAAAAATACAATTACAGATTAAAAAAACAACTTGTGTGAGCCTATACATATGCCTTTCAATACCCAGATATCTTTTTTTTTTTACAGCTCTACCTTATATACTACTCATCCTGTGACTTCACACCTGTGTGCACTCAGCTAAATGTTTCTGCGGGAGTTATTTTCACTTTCAGCAGGCATTATATTTTGAGACGCCAGAATATTCTAGCCATGACAGTTAAAACACATATCCTGTGTTTGCACCATTTTGTATCTCTGCATGTCTAGAACAAATATAAAGTACTTGCAAGTTACAGCACAATATGATGCATGATCCCCAGAAATTTAATGGGTTGTTTATAATTTCTCATTTTATTGGATGGTTATTGTTTTTGTATGCTGATTCTTGCATTAAAGAAATAATTAAACAGCTAATTTTAGAGCATATTTGTTTTCATTAAAGGAACAGTAGCTTGGAAATGTCTGCCATCAGAAATGATGATAAAGAGGCACTTCATATTGTTATTAAACAACGATTAAACACTGGTTGGATTCAAATCCATACGTATATACCTGTTGATCAGTGTACCTTAAAATATATTTTAAATTCCACAGCTAAAGCTCATTATAGCTTTTTTATTATTGCTAGAAACAGGTGTCCTATTTGGAAACCCATTGACACCATTGGAAGGGTGTTCTTTATAACTCTGTGCCAGCATATGCAATAGATGGCTCATATTTCATTACCCTATTTTAATACATTTGGTTCATTCTAACCTTTAATTCATTATTTAAAGATTTATTTTAATAAAAAGTCGCCCATGAATAGCTTGCACCAGTTGTAACCAATGGCAGAGCTTGGCAGCTGGCCTGTTTGGAGCCTGTCTGCGCCCTCAGCTGCCTCCAGACGTGACAGTCGGCTCTCTGTATAGACTATTTGACTGTTGGAAGCCTGAAATATTTGAATGTCATTGGGGGAGGTCATCTGTGGCTTGAGGAGGGGGCAGGTCAATAGGGGTTCATATATGCTTCTGCAATGTAGCAAGTGGAGACTTGCATTATATGCTGGCCAAAGGGCCCTTTTTGAGGCTCCAGGGCCATCTGTACACCAATTTAAATGGTATAGTCCAATTTGAACACCCCTCTATATTGAGCTAAAATGGAAGAGCCTCTTTTGCAGTGTTTGCTGGGAAGAAGAAGTACAGTCGGGATTGGGACTTTGGAGAGGAGGTAGCAATCTGAAGAGGTAAGAGGAGCTGTGTTCTCCAATGGCCAGGCCATTAATGGATGGATGGGCTCATTGGGATGTACATTGGCCATGATGCATGCAATATATGGATTTTTACAGGTCTTGGCATGGTGTCTGTATAGGGTGAGAATAGATATCATGGTTAGCATGAACAAGGAAATATGGAGGGAGCTGCTAGGGGGAGCTATAACAGGGCAGACAGCAGCTGGCTGAAGTGAGCTGCTCCAAATGTGCGTCAAACTCTTTAAAATACTCACATTGGTTGGGAAAACACAGGAAGATGTTGTATTGTTGTGCTTTAGCTTGATAAAGATGGTCTGCAATTGTTGTGTCTTTATCCCTTGGCTGCCTGTCCAAGGGAAGTGGCCAATTTGACATGCAGGCAATGCTGTAGAAAAGAAAGAGAGGAAGCATGTTAATGATGGTGCTTGATGAATAAAACACACTTAAATGTGCTAAAAGCATGTAAATCATAGATATTATTGTGTATTTGTGTGATTTTGCAAGATCATTTTGACAAATTAGCTTCTCTGAGTGAACCATTTGAGAGCTTTAAAGATGGCCGCTCCTTGGAGTAGTGAATGCTGTTGGGACGGGTTACTTCCTGACTCACTCGACACTCTGTGTTGGTTATCTCTGTGTTCAAGCATATAAATCCGTTTTCAAATAAAACTGCAGGAAAAATAATCATCTTTACAGTTAAGTTATTAATAATCAAAGTTATGGTTAGTATTGCTAACTAAAAGGAACCTTTAGGAGATCAGATTCTGGTCTGAACTGAGTGAGTGTGGAGTGTAAACACTGTAACTGAACTGGGTTTTTTTTAGTTAAGGGACTAGTTAATTGAATAGTATGGACTAGTCTCTGATTAGTCACTTTAGAGGGCCCTTGTTTAGTTTTTGACATGGACTAGGTAAAGCACAGCACAGATTTTGATTATCATCCATATAAAACTATATAGACTATAAAACTATAACAAAATTTTGCTGTTAGACTGGCATTGGTGCAGATGACCTATCAGTTGTTATCATATTAATCAATAATGATTCATCTTTTGATTTTATATGTCTCATATGTCCATGAAAATGGAGGGAAGTTTAATTATATTTAAATGAGTAATTTAGTTAATATAAATGAACCTAATGATTTTTTTATATATATTTTTTTTTGTACATAAGATAAGGCATACAGATAAACTAAAGGGTTAAATACTGACAGAACGGAAGAATGGAGGATGTAGGTGCAATTTTTATTCATATTATTTAATATTTTATTCATATCCTACAACCATCCAACATTTAAAGGGTTAAATTTTAGTCCTCTTGGGGGCATCAGAGTAAATGACACCCTTTCATTTAGTTACTGTCTGCCGTTTTTATCAGAAATCTTCAAATGTAAATTACTGCCCCCTCTGGATGGATCAGGAACAAGGGTCTGTGTCTCTAATGGGAAAATGAGAACGGTAAACATGCACTCATTCTCTCATTTAGAGTTGCAGCCCTTTTTCTTTTGCTTAATAAATTGTTCCTCTAAGCTCTCAGTACAGTCCTCTCATAGCCAACAGTTGGACACTCGATCAGTTTTAACCCCTAAAGGCAGCTGCATTATAGCTACTATCACATCACAAGACATAATTGTTCTGTGAACTTTAATTCACACCCTGTTCTCTCAAAGTAGGATTACTAGAACAGAACTACTACAACATTTTCTCCCATGCACAAGTGTAAATGTTAAACGCCCCTGGTTGAGGATAATTGTTCAAGTGAGTGCATGAATTTGCCAAAGCTTCATAAAGCAGTCTGCTGGCCTGTTAAAAAGGTGCTTTTTTTAGTTTTAACATAAATTAACTTTTATATGTTTATAGCTACTGTACTATAGCCATACTTCTGAAGAATTCTGCTATAGTATTCCTGTGAAGTCATATTTATTGAGCCATAATGTACTTTGACATCAAAAAACATTGATAACATGTGGATGTGTCATTCTTTAATTGCTTTAAGAAGTTGTAGTTCAGACATTTATTTGCCATGCCAACATTCTCATCTAAAAAAAAAATAAAACAAAAGAAATTTTATAACCATGTTTATGCTTCTTCAGAGTTATAATGCCATAATATTGGCTTTCGAAGTCATATTCTTTAAGCCATGAAGTGATATAAAAACTTTGATAACCTGATAAATTGATACTATATCTTGCTCTTTTTTTTTTTTTTTGCCATTTCTCATTTTCGCTGTCTCATCCCATATTTTACATGTTTTTGCAATCTCACAAAAAAAGATCTTTTAACAGATATTTTAACAGTTAATGTTCGTTTTGTTCACATTTTAAGTAGTAATCGGTGTCAGTGGAACCCTTTTGTCACAGTCTTGATTTTTTATTTTCTTTCAAATATCTAAAAATGAAAATTACTGCCCCCTCTGGATGAATCAGGAGAAAAAAACTTTTGGGTAGATGTCGATAGACATAGTCAAAATTGTGAGGTATGAAGCTGAAGTTGCTGAGAGGTGGAAATGGGGCTTCCGGTTTCCGTTATAGCCCCGTTGCTTCTCTGAAAGTGCTTTTTGAGTTTTAACAAAAATTAACTAGAACTAATATATTTTAATGACCATACTGTTTAGCTTCTGATTATGCCATAATATTCCGATGAAAAGTCATATAATTTAACAAGCCAGAATGATAATTTGTTAACATAGATAATTTGTTGTGTCACTGCTTAAACCTAACAGGGTTTAGCAATAAGGTTTTTTTTTTCTCACCACTCTCTACCAAAAATAAAAGTTATATATATATATATATATATATATATATACACCTTTTCTGGAAAACAATAGAATGCTGTGTAAAACATATGATAACATTCTAACTAATACTACCAAGATTATCAGTAGTCATTCTTTCAATTTCAACAGCGTCACCAAAAATTATTTAGGTCATGTACATATATTGCACGATAAGTCGATATATTGATTATTGCGACAGGTCTACAGATAACTGACCTGAAGCTTTCTGAATATGCTGTGCTAGAAGTCTTTGAATTTACTAAAAGTTCTTTCCTTTTTTCCAGGTCCTTGGAAAAAAAGAAAACAAGATCTCCATTTGGGACATCCAGTTTTTCTCACTGCAACGTAAGAGTTCATTTTTCTGTCTTAACTGGTTAAAGGCGACACTCATTCTTTGTTAAACAAAGAGAAAATGTGACCTTTTCCTCCAAGCATACCATGCACATTATTTTGTTACCTATTGAATGAAATCTGCCGGCACTCTATTTACAAACGATCCCACACAAAGCCCAGCTCACAGCACGCATCTGTCATGAACTTGACTCTCTTACAGCTGTTCAAATGGCAGCTGACATGCACAGTTGCCCGACATGCCTCTCCTTTCACTATATATTCATCCTTTGTTTATGCTTCAGTGGGTTTTTCTCACTTAACCAGAAAAGCCACAACAAGACATACCTGCTTCCTAAATTTTTACACACTCACCACCTCATTCATGAAGCACGAGTGGAATGAATAGAACCTTTTTATGTAATTACTGCATTTAATTGACTGTAAGAATAGTTTTACTATCTATACACAGTGTGTTTGATGTCTGAGGCCTATAAACTATTTTTTCCCACATGCACACGTACTATATTTTTTTGACTCACGCATTAATATTAGACTAGTCAAAGTCAGAATTTCCTCTTTTTTTACACAGACAAACCAAATGATCTCTATTTCCTTATCCCTATTTACTCATCTGCTCCCCCTAGTTATTCATTCTTGTCTACAAGTGACAAGATCCATAACTGAACTTAGCAGAACGCATTGCAGCCATTTTCCATGCAGGGTGTGTGTGTGTTCTTCAGAAAGGGGATTGCGGAAAAGCAGCATACTTTTTTTCTCTTCTAAACCAATCAGCATTGCTGTGGTATGAGTCACGCCCACACCCTACCCTTATATGGCAAAGAGGGGGCGGGGCTGTTTCTCAGACCGGACAGTGAAATGGTGGCTGCTTGTACAAAAACAGCAGCAGCACCATTAGGAACCGAGCAGCTACAGACACATTTACAGGTAAGATCCGTAGCTTAGAACATTCTCCTGCTTCTAGGTTCTACTTAACATGCATCCTGTGACATGAAAATGAAATGATATTGCTGCTTCATGTATCTGAACGATGCTGTTTGTCTAACCTCCCTCTTGAGCTAATTGTGTTAGCCTGTTTACAAGCCATCCTGCCATTCATTCCGCCTAGAAACCTATTTTACCAAACCGACATAGACAAAAACTCTTTTAGTTGCTTTTAGAAAATCTTTTAATTTATAGTAAAGGAAAACTTGAGTATGACATCATTCATTATGCCATGTGGTTTAATGGGTATGTCAAGCACAACGTGCTTATTAACTGCATTGTTTTAGTTGTAGAATTACACGTTTTGTTTGTTTTCCTGTGCAAACCGGTTTTTGATTACAATTAAATAATGTGTGAATTTGAGTCAGTACTTCCTGTGAACTTCCATTCTGAAAGCATGAAGACCTATAAATAAACTGAATGTTGGTATATAGGTTTAGATCTTTTATGGTATATAACTTTGTATAGTTTAAAAGTTCATATTTTTGTTACTTATTAGGTAAAAACTCCCACCCCAGACACCGCAGATTCAGAACTGGACAGCAACCTTTTACGGTCAAAGAAAGAGAAAATATAATCCTATTAGAAAACCTACCACTGTCTTTTAAGGTAGAATTTAATGGTCATTAAACCTCACAAGTAAGCAATTTAGGAAACTCCACAAAGGCTACTCAAATAAAAGTTCTAGAGAATTGACTCGCAAATGATTCCAACACAGACTGATGTTGCTCAGCTAACAGCATGATACACTAATATGCATATACAATACGAAATGTGCACAAATACTAAGTAAAATAATCTGTTTGAATTGCACTGAACTATTTTATAATTGAATGAAATGAACGTTTACATCAAAATTTAAATGCATAAATTTATACTCAGATAAGGCAATTCCACAATGCATTTCTCTTATTAGACACTGCAAGTTCAGTGTCAAAATAGTGAACTGTCACATTGTGGAATTGCTCTCTCTGTAATGTCTACACACAATGCTGAAGGCTACAGCTTTCACCATTTCTGCCGAAAAGACTAACATTGTTAAAAAAAAAAAAAAAGTTAATAGAGGTTATTGCAGTACATTTTACAAGAAAATACTATTTTAGTATGTTTAATTTAATGTGTTACTGCCATTTATTTGTAATTATTTGTGAAATTTACTAGCAATTTCTAAATTAAAATTAGTTTCAAAGCCATTTTTTTTTGGTGTATATTTAAAATCAAATGTCCAAGGAAGCATGCAAGTTTCAAACTTGATTGTTGTTCAGGAAGTGTTAAAGTATTATTATGGTCTGTGCTGTTTTGATATGAATAATTAAAAACAAGTTTTCCTTTCATTTCAGAATCAGCCAAGACTGAAAGCCTAGAAGAACCAAAGATTCAGACCCATCTATGGCAGAAAAACAGCAGATCAAAGTGACTGCGGCCAAAGTGCTGTGCTATGTGGAGAAAATCTCCTCCTTCGCCTCCAACATAAATCCTCTCTTCGGGATTGTGACTTCAGTGGTCGGGGTGGTCAGGAAAGGCCTCGTGGATGAGGAGGACCATGAGATGAACAAGGACTTCAAACAGATCCATGAGAAGCTGGAAATCATCTCGGAGAAGAACAAGCAGACCCTGCGACAAATCCGCATCGACGAAATCAATGAGAATTTCGGTAAGCACGAGGAAGTCATCAAACATCAGTACAACGCTTTCAACACCATGGTGGAAAGAGTAAAAGTGAACCCTGAGAACTCGGATCGTCACATGGAGGAGTTTGTGAAGATCTACGAGAATGATAAGATGGATCTGAGCTTAGAAACGTATTACCGCGGAGTGAAAGGTGCCGCTCTGTTTGGGAAGCCCATGCTGCAGGTTTACCTGGAGAACTGCCAAAGAAACAAAAAGGTGATGGAGGCCCGCTGCTCTCACATCGCCCACCTGTTCTACATCGGTCTAATGGCGCTGATGGCCTACTACGCCGCCAGTGAAGATGACGAGGATGAAGTGAGAGCCAAATGGGGCCCGAGGGTCATTGAAATTCAAGCCAAGATGCAAGAAGTTCTGGACCAATGCACTGAGGAAAACTGAAGTGGGAACATTGCACTGAACGATTCATTTCATACGCTGAAATTTTAAATGTTGTAAGCAGTCTTGAATTAGGAAATTTAAATAAATCGTGTGGGGTGTAAAATGGGTGAATCTTTTCCTGCTTGCCAATGGACTTTTCAATGCAATACTAAAGTAGTGCAAAGTTTTTAACACTGTATATCGCAGTTTAATTTTTTTTTTAATTATGTTAAGCATGTTTTGGACTGAATATATTGTAAAAAAGTATTTCCAATATCATATGAGCCTTTGATGCGAGTTACATGAGTTATTATGAATTATTATATAATTGTTTGCTTATGTTTTGTGGAACATCTCTGATTCTTTGCACAATAAATGAATCTATTTTTACTCTCATATCATGGCAGTTAGTCTCTTTATTTGTCATTTTATATGGCCAAATGTGATTTCTGCCAAGTCAATTCATGATGTGAACACACTAAAGACTGTGTGCAGAATGCAGGTGAATATGGACTTTGCTTGCCAAATTGCAAATTGCATTGATTTGCATTAAATGCAAACTTCAGTCTAATCTGAACTATTCAGTACAAGTTGAACTCAATTAGCAACATTTATGGCATGGGGAAGTCGTGGCCTAATGGTTAGAGAGTCGGACTTGTAAAACTCGGATCGTCACATGGAGGAGTTTGTGAAGATCTACGAGAAGGATGAGATGGACATGAGCTTAGATTTGTATTACCGTGGTGTGAAAGGTGCCTCTTTGTTTGGGAGGCCCATCCTGCAGGTTTACCTGGAGAACTGCCAAAGAAACAAAAAGGTGATGGAGGCCCGCTGCTCTCACATCGCCCACCTGTTCTACATCGGTCTAATGGCGCTGATGGCCTACTACGCCGCCAGTGAAGATGACGAGGATGAAGTGAGAGCCAAATGGGGCCCGAGGGTCATTGAAATTCAAGCCAAGATGCAAGAAGTTCTGGACCAATGCACTGAGGAAAACTGAAGTGGGAACATTGCACTGAACGATTCATTTCATACGCTGAAATTTTAAATGTTGTAAGCAGTCTTGAATTAGGAAATTTAAATAAATCGTGTGGGGTGTAAAATGGGTGAATCTTTTCCTGCTTGCCAATGGACTTTTCAATGCAATACTAAAGTAGTGCAAAGTTTTTAACACTGTATATCGCAGTTTAATTTTTTTTTTAATTATGTTAAGCATGTTTTGGACTGAATATATTGTAAAAAAGTATTTCCAATATCATATGAGCCTTTGATGCGAGTTACACGAGTTATTATGAATTATTATATAATTGTTTGCTTATGTTTTGTGGAACATCTCTGATTCTTTGCACAATAAATGAATCTATTTTTACTCTCATATCATGGCAGTTAGTCTCTTTATTTGTCATTTTATATGGCCAAATGTGATTTCTGCCAAGTCAATTCATGATGTGAACACACTAAAGACTGTGTGCAGAATGCAGGTGAATATGGACTTTGCTTGCCAAATTGCAAATTGCATTGATTTGCATTAAATGCAAACTTCAGTCTAATCTGAACTATTCAGTACAAGTTGAACTCAATTAGCAACATTTATGGCATGGGGAAGTCGTGGCCTAATGGTTAGAGAGTCGGACTTGTAAACCAAAGGTTGTGGGTTCGAGTCTCAGGTCCGGCAGGGATTGTAGGTGGGGGGAGTGAATGTACAGCGCTCTCTTCCACCTTCAATACCACGACTGAGGTGCCCTTGAGCAAGGCACCGAACCCCCACTGCTCCCCGGGCGCCGCCTGCATAAATGGCTGCCCACTGCTCCGGGTGTGTGTGTTCACTGCTGTGTGTGTGCACTTTGGATGGGTTAATTAATTCTACTAATTCCAAGTATGGGTCACCATACTTGGCCACATGTCACGTCACGTCACATAATGCTGATTACAATTTCCACTTCTTTCTTTCTGGGTTACATTGAGGCATTTGATGTACAATGGAAGTGAATAAGGCCAATCCTTAGACATTTAATACTCACTGTTTAGACCGTAAAAACTCACTGTTTTACAAGTACAGCCACAAGACTTAACAACATGCATGTTAGCATGATTTTAGTGTAAAAATCACTATAACCATTTTTTTACAACTTAGTCATCATGACAACATAATGCCTAAAAAAATCTAAATATATAACTTCAACAGATTTACAACTCAAATAATATGCACATTTTAACAGAATTAATGTGAGAGTTAAATAAAAAAGCTGGACATTTTTGCTTTTAAACACTCCAAAAATGGACCTCATTTACCTCATAAGTGCTTGACTGTAACCTCGTTTTTTGCTTTTTAAGAAAAGGAGGAACAAAATTATTCTTGTGATAATCAACATTATGCCACAAATGCTAATTGAGCTTAACCTGTATTGAATCTTCGTATCATTTAGATACTACTATAGTTTTTTTCATTAATAATTTAATAATATTATTGTTTTATTAATATTAATATTACTTTTATTAATATTTGGATTGTTTTTATTTTTTTATTTTCAGTTTTCCAATTATATATATATATATAATGTTTATTTTATTTCAAGTACGTCATTTATGATCTTTTTGAATGGTTTTAGATTTTGTTTCATTTGTAGTTAACTATAATAGCCCTGACTGACCCCGGAATATTCTTGTAACAGTAGTGCATGGTAAATACATATTTTTGTTGGAAATTCTGTTTAACTTTAAGATTGTGATCTGTTTCCTCCTTCAGGTGAACTAACCGTTAAGACTGTCCTACAATCTTCCTCCGGACACAATGGCTGACAATGAGATATTTGATGACCCCGAGAAGCTGAAGAGGGGTCTAGTGAAGGTTCTGGAATGTGTGGCCACCATCTCGTCTGCAGCAGCGGTGGTCAATCCCATCTTCGGTGTGGCTGGTTCTCTCATCCGGGTGGTGCTGCACCACGTGGACGATGAAGACATTCAGAAACTCAAACGAGAGTTTGGCAGCGTGAATCGAGCCCTTGACGAAATCTCGCAGCAGAACCGTCAAGCCCTGCTGCAAATCAGGAAGGAAACGGTGGACAAACAGTACCACGAGGTGGAAGAAAACATTCGCAATCAGTTCCGCAAATTCATGGCGATCGTGGAGGCCAAACCGGAGCAAGTGCAACGCAAGAAAGATGATTTCGTAAAGAGTTTCATCAATGATAAAGATGACCAGAACATGTACACACTTTACGAAGGCGTGATGGGGAAGCGCAAACTCTTCAGCCAGCCCATCCTAGACGTCTACATGAAGCATTCGCAGGGTGACCAGCGCGTCATGGAAAACCTCTGCACTCGACTCGCGTACCTGTTCTGCATCGGCTTCATCGCTCTGATGGGCTACTACGGCATCCTGGGGGATGATTTGGAATCCCGAAACGAAGAGTGGGAAGAGAATATGAGGAACGTGCAGGAGAAAATGCAGGAGGTGCTGAGGAGATGCAAGTAAAAGCTTTCTGCACAACCGACGAAGTTGCCTTTGTGCTTAGCCTTTTCCTCTTACACTAATAGATTTCATCGACCTGCAGCTTTATCTCCCTGATGACCACAGATCATGCTGAAGTGTACACAGTCATTTCCTGTGATCTAGTTCTTTTTTTTTATTTATTTTTTTATCACACAATCACATTTCTTCATGCCTTGCCTCAGTTTAACACTACATGTACAAGATATGTCACACTAATCTAAAGAATGCTGGTTGTGGTGGTTTTATAAATATTATTAAAGCTCATAAGCAGTGTCACCTTGAAAATTGACTACATGATGAACAACTTGTTTCCTGAATAAATACATAGTATATACAAATGTATTCTATAAAATACATATATAATTTAAAAAACTATGTATCTATCTATATATTCATAAATGTTGCAAAATAAAGAGCATACAATTTACTGTCTGTGCAAACAAGATCAATATTTCGATCTGAAACGTTCATGTTTATGCATCTTTTTGGCACATTAGTAATAGATTTAAGTGTGCATTTAATTGTCTCCTGTGTGTTTTTTTTTGTGCCATTAGAACACATACTGTGTGTTTGTTCATCCATAATCACATTTGTTTATCCATAAAGCACTGCAATATACATAAATGTACCTGAATTATGTGTTTGTGTGCTTTTTGAATGTCCCATGGATTGGAACCACTGGCCTTCCTAATCATTATTAAAATACCTTTTTGTTTTTTATTATTCAGTCTTTGGAATGCTGCTGCACTTATAACGCTGTACAATATTGTTACATTTTTCAATAAAGATGAATAAACAAGGAATGAAAACTATCACAAGTTGTTTTGACTTACACTAAAATTCATAATATACTGTATATTTAATACAATTAATCAGAAATGTAATCACATATATATTATTTAAAGATATATTTACAATAAAAATATAATATTAAGAAATATAATATAATATAATTTTTAAAGACTTACATTTTGACGTAAACAGTAGGTGGAGGGACCTTTGAAGGAGATTTTTTTCTTGTTAGATGTTCCTCTGCCACTAGATGGCAGTAAAAGGTCATAAACTGAGTTTAGGCCTAAAACTATAAAACAAGCATACTGCTACTGCTTAATGCATATTGTGTGTATAGCACCTACTATATTATTAATATATGTAAAAACAGCATATACTATGCAGCTATAATCAGTTTAAACTGCCATATGATCTTACTAAGCTATCATTTGACAAATAAATCTGGTTATATTGCATTTTTAAATGTATTTCATTCATTTTGTGTAAAAAAAAAAAGTGCATACAGACCATAGACTGTATAAAAACAGATACAGACTGTTATGCAGCAGACACGAAAGGCTATAGGCTACAAATTAATTTCAGACTTTTGAAACTTTTGAAAAGGACTCTGGTAAAACATCTACTATGCTATATAAAAATTGTTAAATATTTTTTTGCCTACACAACAGAATTTAATCAGGTTAGACGCCACATCGAATGTTAACGCGAATGTAAACAAGCCTGTGAGGGATCGTCTTTACAATGGCATACACTGTATAAAAAGACTAAAGCATGTCATTTTCACAACTTTCATAACTATTTAAAGTTTTTTTTTTTTTTTTTTGTCTACTGCCTTTTTCAGAAAGACGTTACTTACAACCATGTCGTTAAATAAGAGAACAATCAATGGTGTAGTTACAGCACCTACCAGCAGGGGCTATCTGGACCACCTGCAAAGCTGTCTTTGAATGGTCCAAATCGATGATCTTTCACACAAGTAATACATTTTCCTCCCAAAATATTCAGGATTAAACATAAGTAGTATGGGAGATATTACTAGGCTACTTTATCTTTAAACACTTAAATTTCATTTAAGAGAACATAAACATGAATGAGTTTTACTTTACCCTTTGTGGCATCACAGAAGACTTGCTCTGCGACATTTCACGCCATCAGCCAGAAACCTTTGCAAAGACTCTTACGTCAAGTCAGAGAGGCATTCATATGGACACGATTCTGAAAGAAAGAAAGAAAGAAAGAAAGAAAGAAAGAAAGAAAGAAAGAAAGAGAAAGATGTTAAGGCTTTTCTGGAGAAGTTGTGATCCACAAAAATTCAAGAAACACACTGTAAATAGGTTGCTGTAAATTTTACAGTAACTTACTGGCAGCTGGATGCCAGTAATTTACTGTAACAATGTTTACAGTATTATTACTCTAATTGCATTTACAGTACAATAATATATTTACTGTATTTTATTTACAGTATTATTACTGTATTTTCATTTACAGTATCAGTACTGTAGTTTATTTTCATTTAGTTGAACATTTTTTTACCTGTAAAAAACAAGCCAATTGTGGTACTGCACTGTAAACCATGATTTTTACCACCCCCCCACAATAACTCATAAGCTTTAGTTCTGATAATATTATTTTTAATTGTTGAACATTTTCTTTTTAAAAGTACAAATTACAAATCTTGACCTCTCAGATGCACTAGCTTAAAAAAAGGGCATCACCACAGTCCCCTGGGGACTTTGTATCATGGAAGAACATACACATACTGAAAAGCAAAAATTGGCAAGTACACTACTAGTCAGAATGGAAAAGAAAACAGCAATGCTTTAGCATTTTACTTGAGGAAAATTAAAGTGCAGGCCTAATTAATGAATTTGGGAGATAGATAGATAGATAGATAGATAGATAGATAGATAACCTATAGCAGTTTGTCAAAAATACGCTTTCAATTCAATTGAATGTAGTTTGGTTTTATTGTGTTGTTGATTAAATTATTATTGTGTGATTTTTGTTCGGTGGACAGAAATTACAAAAATGTCTTAATATTAGATATGTGATTAAAAGAATAAAATGGGAAAAAAATAGTTTATTTTCAACTTTAGACTCAAAACATAGTAACTGAAATATGAAAACTTCGCCGTATGACAATGCTCTCCCCAATAAAATAATCAGAATCAGAATATGACGTAATCTAATGGGCCTACAGAATATTTAAAGTAGTCCTTTCTTACGTGCCTTACGTACATCAGTAGACTATAAGCCTGAAAAAGATTCAAATGCAGCCTCTGTCGAGTCTCATGGGAATAAGTCATCATGTTCAGCAGTGTCAGCCGTCTATGACGCATTCAGACACAAGGTCACACCTGACTTATTTTCAAACGCTTATTTGTAGATTGTTAGAAAAGAAATGTATATCCACCACTTGATTTGCAAATATGTACAATGATGCATGTGACTTCGTTTTCCTTCCCTTTTACCCGCGTATGATTTCATAATATTTGCATTTGAACCCTCCTTAATCAGCACACGCTCAGAGAAGAGAACATTAAGCACACAATCGATAGGATAGACAATATAGTATGTTATTTTTATATAACATAACATAATGCAATATCAAACTCGTTAAGCACTTAAATACATCAGTAGTGTGTAAAATACCTGCCATCCCTGTGTGGAAAATATCTGCGCATGTTTCTTGTGATCCACCGGAGCTGCTCCATGTTGCGCATTGCGCGCAATATTCCTCTTGATGAACAAACATTACGCGCTATTTCTCTCTAAAATCAGTTCAGAACATTTCTATCTGTTGTCATTTTATGAATAAAGCGCAAGGTACAGCCAAGCACGTCAAAAAAAAATAGACATCTCTCCCACTGTTACCAAGTGCTTTCCAAACCAAAATCATCCTAACGCATTCTCAGCGCGCGCAACTGCCTCTCTGTCGCACGCGCACACTGCCTCTCTGTTCATTTCACACTCACTCAGATCATCACAAATATCCTCCTCGAGCCAATACCTGAGGGAAACCTGAATTTCGGACAGCAGCTCTTCTACCAGCCAGACGTGAGAAACCTGTTTGAAATATTTTCTGCTGGGGTAAATTGCTGTGATGCGCATGTAGGGTACTTATGAGGGAGACTGCGCTTTAAAACGCTTTTCGAGGTGTTTCCTTTACGGAACAGAAGATGGCACATACAGTGGTGCCATATCTACGTAACACAATTTTAAGCTCAAGTCGTTTTAATTCTGCTCTGAATGGGAATATTTCGAGGTTTGCAATGTGCCCGGACTTGGTTTAACATGATTTTGTTTCTCATTAACATGCATGCGGATTTAAAATGGAAGAAAATGATGATGGCACAGTTGGCTATCGTGTAAAATTAGCAACGTGAGGAGTTTCATGCATGCTTAATGCGTTCGACTGTGATGAAAACACGTAGGTCTATAATTTAGGTTTTTTTAAAAGTATGAGAAAAAATCTAACATTTTACATCAAAAATATTATTATAATATATCTGACCGAATGCACTTGAGCTTTTTTTTGTCTGTCATACCTGTATTATCTGAGAAAAGGTTTTATGAGATTTATTTACAACTTCAGTGTCTCAACAATGAGACTATAAAACAAATGGAGACGTTCAGTTTTCTTAGGCAGAAATTATTCCATGTTTACGAAAGAACAATCTGCAATTTGCAACTTTTATTTTACATTATGCACCTTGAATTAAAACAGAGCAATTGTGCAAAGAGAATTTTTATCTTATTTTAATAGTACCAGAAATGAAGGCATTTATTTTTGTTTGTTTTTAGAAATGTCCAGTCCACTAGAGCGGGTTGTAGCTCAGAAGAAGGAGGCCATTGAAGCCGTGATGGAGATGTTTGAGAGAGGAGCCGAGGTGCTGGCCAGCGCTGTTGGGGAGCTGTGTCCTCTTTTTGAAGCTTCTGCTCCAGTTTTGAGGCTGGTCTTGGACAATGTGGAAAGCAAGGAGATCACATATGTCAAAGATCAGTTTCTAGTTGTGAGGAGCAAATTAGATGTCCTCTCATCTCAAGTAGAGGACATCAACTGTGAGATTAAAAAGGGACGGTTGGATTCTCAGTTCTTCACTGTGGAGGAAAATATATGCAACCAGTTTAGAAAATACATAGACATTCTGGAGGCCAAACCTGAGTACAAAGAGGTTAGAAAACGCTTGTTCTTGCAGCATTTTCCCAAAACAGGAGAGAAGAACCTCTACATGCTTTACGATGCTGTGATGGGGAACAGCACATTTGGGGAACCGATCCTGGATGTTGTGGAACAATACGAGGCCAGAAACAGAAGGGTCCTGGAAGACTTCTGCGTCAGACTGAATGAGCTTCTCTGCTTGGTGGTTCACGCCGTCAGTCGTCACAAGGACAGCTTTGCTCTGTCGAGCTTTCCTGAAGAGTGTCACTACTGGGAGAAACATAAGAACGTGAATCTCTGTGTGCATTCAGAGTAGATTTAGATAAAAATCTTCTATAACTGCATTTTACTGTATCCATGATCTATGTCTTGACAAAACAGTATTTATTCAGCTTATTGTCTCTAACAAATAGTTAATGCATTTATTGTAATTCCTCTTTTCGTTGTTCTAAACTAAAACCAAAGTGATCTTGTTCAGACTAACCAGTTTAATTAACCAGCCCATCTGTGTATGCACTTTTATGAGCAATTATAATATTATTTTATGTTACAAAGTTTAATGTATCTGTCTAAAATCATGCCTTGAGAACCAAGAATTCTCAACCAGGGATCCGGGGCCCACTGGGGGGCCTAAACAAAATAAGTGGTCCACAAAAAGACTTAAAATAATGTACAATAAGACAAAATGTGCATTAAATAATTTCAAATAAATAAAAATCAATATATTCCTTATTTTATTGACTCCCTCAACAACTGTTTTTTTATCTTTCATTGAAGAATCAGTATTTCCACAGAAAGCATGGATATATGAGAGAATATTTTAAAAAGTACAGTTTCTAGACCTGCAAAACTCATGGAAATTGGCATCAAATATTGTAATTTTTAACTCTTAAAATGGCATAAAGTAGAAATGGAGTAAAAATCTTTTTTTGCTCAATCCTTATCCAAACAATTACACGTTTAGGGGCTTTCTAATGTTGTGGTGGACAACGGTGCGGCCTTGGAGACAAAAAGGTTGAGAACTGCTGCTTTAAACAATATCATGTATAAAACATTTTGTGAAATAGTTAAAGGAAAAATGGTTTTTGGACCAAGTACACTGTATTAGACTTGTGCCAGAACTGGCAATTTGGCCTTTGTGAGTGAATGACCTACATAGGGCCAACAGAATACAAATGCCCTACCAACCATGAAAAGAGGCAATGACCACATCTCAGTCTTTTTGTCTCGTCTCAGCGGCCCATACAAACTGAGCTTTCAGTAAAAGTAAAACGAGGACCTTTGCAAGAAATAGTTTCAATATCTGACATACATTGCTATGATATACCACCCAAAGCCACATTTAATTAAATTACTGTTTTAGTACACAAGTCAGCATTTTCTGGCCAAGGGCTGCAGAAACATGGTGAGTAACGTTTCACTTTGTTAATATAAAGCCGACGAGCTCTGAAGTGCTGTGATCAGCTCTCCGGATCCAGTCATTAAAATCACTGAGGTGCCGAGTGAAGGAACAATCCATCATTTAACACTCAGGAGGGAGGATCCATTTCCATTGTATTCTTGTATTCCATTCTGTGTGTTTCTATTGTGAGTTAATGAGATCGTAAATGCATATTGTTTGAAATTATATTCAAAACCACAGGGAATCAAAATAATATTTAAAAACGACATTATTAGAGGCCCATTTGACCTTATGGTGCAAGATCATTAAAAGCCATTTATAACCATTCAAGTTGTGACCTTGCAACCACACCGCCATGGGTGATGACCTTTGACCCCTACACACATAATCCAATAAGACTGTCCCCTTTATATGTCAATATGTTTTTTGATTTATGACAAAACAAATCATTATAGTACCTTTTATTGGTTCATAACAATTGCAGTTGTTGAAATTTAAAAAAGCCATTGACGTCACAAAAGCAATCCTCTCTCAAAAAACACCATTCTGAAAAAGGCAAAAAGAACCATTATTTCCTTCATATTTTTCCTTTGTGATGAATAATTCATACATTATTTTCTTTCATGCATTATTTATTTGTTTGTTTGTTTATGAAGGCGGCCAGCATCTTATTAAAAATACAAGGTCCATCCTAGAAATATTTAAAGTTTTTAAAGCAGTTGTTATGCTCGGTTTTCAGAGTCTGAATGGAAGTGCATGCATGGCTCAGCCTGTATTCATTAGCGGTTGAGGCTTCTGTCTTGGTTGGAGCTATATTGATCCATGTGGCTTCCATCTCTGAAAAACGGCTGAACCTTAAACCTGTCTGTTACTAGACCAAAACAAACATCTATTATTCCAGTACGACACAGCGACATGTTTTGCTGGACTACTTTAAAACTTTTAAATAAAGGCAAATGAAACTACAACCTTCTCCAGGAAAGGGCATCAGTCAATATCAATATTTAATATATAAATGAGTGATTTTATGAATCTCAGCATCACAGTAGTGCCGAGGCGGTTGATCTGTCCCAGGATACCTCACTCTGGCTGCATCTGCCAATCACAGCCTGAGCTAATGACATTACCTTTTCGTCAGAATGGACCATCGACCGGCTTCCTGGCCTTAAGTGGCCTGATCTGATAAAAAGCATTAAAACATTTGTACTGTGACACACACCAGCTCACCCTCAGCCTCTGCACTGGATTCATCCTTCTGATGTGTCTTATAAAACCTTTGCAAAAAGATCTTACTGTCTTCACAAAATGAGTATATATGATGCTGCAAATAAACTTTTTGTGCAAACTAAAGCCCATCTCACATTCAATATTCCTAAAGCATTTTAGCATAACATCTCAATCATGATGATCTGAAGTAAAATAACATAACATTACTCAAAACTGCAGCAAACAGAACTGTAAACAAAGCTATAACCATTATTAATTATCAGCAACACTAATTAGTCAAAAGGACACCATAATTAAATATTCATGAGATCATGGCCACGCCCCTCAAATGCAATGCACAGATAGGACCTAGTTTTTTTTCTGATTGCCTTTAATTAATTGAACTATGTTTGTTGAAATTGTGTACATCGGGGTTATTAAAGTTATCTAAAACTATAGAAAAAAAACCTACTTTAATGGAAATCTAAAAAAAAAACTTTTTATATTTTATTTAATTTAATTTTAATTGTATTCGATTTTATTGCAGCTAGTTAAAGCAACATTTCTCTTTTTCATTTAACTTGATGTACTAATATAACTATAGACATATTAAAAAACGAATAAAAATGACAGAGACTTAATTTACTCAAATGTTAACTAATATTAAAATGAAAACAAAAACATTCAAAATATGAATAAAATTGTAATAGTATCTCAATAACACTGCTGTATATACATCATTAAACCGGTTTTATCTAATAAATAATAACTTATTTGTTAAGTTAGTTAGTAAATTCAAGTTCATTTATTTAAATTAAATTAAAATTAATTACAATTAATTCATTTATGCAGAATTTAAGGCCAAATTATTTTTTGTTTTTTTCCCATTTTCAGTAATAAAAGCAGCAACATGTCAAAATAAAAAGGCTACATGTATTTTGAGATTATGTACACAAAGCAATTTTTATTATTCTAATCATTAAATAATTATTATTACATTTTTTATGATCTCAGCAGGCAAAGTTTATGTTTAAGTCATATTCGTTGGGGACACATGAAAACTTAATTTCAATAAAGGGAAGTTGATTTAAAGAAAATAAAGTGTCAGTTTCAGTCTTTGGGAGCAGGAGGTAAATGACACTCTAATTACACTCATGGGTTTATTTCTGTCCGCTCGTTCGCCAAACCATTAGCGTATTACGGTTCTAATCGGTATATTGATCTTGTTTTGGCTCCATCTGCACTCACACAATGTGTGCGAGCCTCGCAGTGTAATGCTGTTCTCTG